TTTTTTCTCGCGAGGACTCATCAAGGGGAAGCTGCCAGAAGCCCGAAGAGAGATCTAGCGTCGAGAAAAACTTCGCCCCCGACAAGGCATCGAGAGAGTCGTCCATACGCGGCAGGGGATATGCATCTGCTACGGACACTTTATTTAATTTACGAAAATCAACACTAAATCTCAATTTGCCATCTTTCTTTTTGACCAAAACAACAGGCACGCCCCATGGGCTGGTAGACGGAGATATTATGTCCGCAGCCAACATGTCATCCACTGCCCCTCGAACATGCTCGCGTTCCGCCGGACTCATCCGGTGCAATTTTAACCGAATAGGGGCAGCGTCCCCTGTGTCAATATGATGGTAAAGCAACGAGGTGCGTCCCAAGTCCAAATCGTCAGAGCTAAACACGTCAGAATAGCTGAATAATAATTTACGAATCGCACAACGCTGTTCCCCGGAAAGAGCCGAATTTTCCGCACACAATTCAGCGATCCAGCGATCATCTGCAGCTCCGGCCCCCGAAACACCTCCAACAACTCCCCGGCTGGGCAAATTATCATGAGCTGTAAACGCAGTAGTGGCATGTGCCACAACAGTACCCGCCGGCACACACACGCTTTCGGTACTCGCGTTAAGCACTTGCAAAAACGGCTGTTGGTCTGGCTGGACAATAGTTTGTGCCCCAACCAGTGCCGATCCACCCGTAATAGCGGCGGACGGCGACAACAAAACACCAATCGCTCCTTGACGACCAGGTACAGGCTTCCAATAACGCAAGGGAATGAGTATCTGTGAGCCAGGTGGAATATCAACAGACACCTCGGACAACGCCTGCACCTGGGCGACAGGATCAGGTCGCCCCCAGGCTGACGGCAAAAACGCAATTTTTCGGCCTTCCGGTAGCTCAATGCAGCTCTCAATAATTCTAATCAGAATGGGCATTCTGTCCAGAAAATCGGTCCCTAACAAACAAAGAACCGCAAGAGACCTCTAAATTAACACAATTCCCGAGGCAGACACTCCCCCGATAGCGATGTTAGCGTTCACCTGGCCCACAATGCCCATGCTACCCCCGTTCGCGGCGATGCAGGAAGCGAAAGCTGGACTCACGGCCGCTGGTGGGATGTTCAAAAGATGAAATATTACATCAGAAATAATGGTCGCGGACGCTCCAGAATCTACCAAAATCCGCACGTCCACCCCTTGTATCGACCCAGGTACGGTGGACGAACCGGTAGCGGCCGCGACAACCCACCGAGCCAGCTTACGCCACTGCGTTACCGAGCGACAAGGCGCAGTCGATGGGCTCCCGTTATTAACAACACCCGGATCGCACGACAACGGTGATGAATGAGGTGTCAAGCCTTGCCGGGTGTCTGGTGCGCACCGACTTGCCTGTGCTGGCGAATCCTTTCCTGGAGCGGCCGCAGTCGAGGCCTCCTGCTGGGGCGGACCCGGAACGCGGGCCCAGCAGTCCCGAGCGTAATGGCCCTTACGCCCGCAGCGGAAACAGTCGATGTCGTTACGGCGCGCTGCGGACGCCCTGTCCCGACGCGGCCGTGTCGGCGGCGCAGCCCGTGGCCCCGGCCCCCCTCGGCCCGTCCACGGAGCCGCGGCAGCCGACAGCTCCTGCGGGCCCCTGTCGTCTGGCACATAAACTGCCGTTTTGGGGTCCCAACCCAAGGCTCCCCCTTCGACGATAGGCCCCCCCGTCCACGCCGTAACCTGCTTCCACCGGCGCAGGTTGAACTGGGCATCTAGACATTTGGCCGCAGCCCGGGAGGTGAGCTTCTCATGACCACACACTGGCATAGGAATGCCGAGATCCCGGGACAGCTCCAGCATCTTCCCCAGGATGAGAGGTTCCAGCAGGTCAGGCTCCGTCTCCGGGTATGCAGCCATAGCCAGTTCTAGCACCTTGCCCCTATACGCCACCGGAGACTCCTCGGGTGCGCGCTGTCGTTGCACAAACCGGCGATGAGCATCGTCCTGTGGTTCGTAAGCGTCAGCCATTTCGGTGAATACTCCTCGCAACGTTTTCTTCTTTGCGGCTTTTATGGAGCGGAAGAATCATCATCGAGAAGAGTCGGAAAAACTTCTAATGCCTCAGCGTCAGTCCACCTCGCCGTGCGTACCGCTGCCAAAAATCTGCAGGCGAACGCGCTCCAATCTCCCCCGATGGAGAATTCTTTTACAGTCGGCAAGTGACGACTGCGACCTCTTGGCGCGCTCCCTCCAGCCGCCGACTCATCAAGTGGCAGATTCAACATGGCGTCCCAACGTGGTGTCAACAAGATGGCGGCCTTACGCCGAGAAGGGCCCAAAATGGCGGCTTCCCGCCTTTCCTCGTGCGCCACGCCCAAGATGGCGTCCTCACGCCGCGTGGCTGATAGCGGCGACAGCGAAGACAACCTAGGCTCCCGCGGACCACCAACATCTCCTCCAGACGCCATTCCCTGCGTGACGAGCTCACACAACTGTGCAAGTACGTTCTTAAGAGTTTCAAGTTGCTCCGCCATCTGACTCCATCTTAAATCGACGTTCTTTAGTGAAGACGGGTCCGCCGACGCGACAACCTCTTGGACCCCCGGACCCGCACTCGTCCCAGCACGGATCTCCTCGTCTGTCGGAGTCAGGTCCACCGTAGGAGGAAGGTCTTCATCGTCGGAAGAAGAAGCCGATGCCGGAGACGGAATATTCTTTTTTCTCAGTTGTTTTGCCATGCCGTTACACTTCCAACACCAGTGTAATAAAAGACTCGGACGCTTCTCTCTGTCCTGTGTCCTTTATTTGGGTTCGATCTCTTTTCCCTCACGGCACTCCCCCTTACTCTTCGCTCTGCAGCCCCAGGTTGCTATCGCTCACGTAGCCCACTTCACAGCACTCCCCTATATACTCTTCGCTCTGCAGCCCCCAGGCTGCTGTCGCTCACGTAGCCCACTCCCTCCTTGCTGACCCGCTGCTGTCTCGACGTGCAGACTCCCCCGCTGCTCGACTCCACCCTTGCAGACCCGCTGCCCTCTCTGCAGCCTCCTCGCTGCTCCTCCAGCCCCGGGGTCGGTCACCGCTGGCCGACGGTGCCGATCCTCGAGGTCTGTGTGTGTGGCGATCTCGCCACACTCTCTCTTCCCCACTCCGCCCTGCGTGGCCTTACACTTTCCCCAGTCTCCGATCACTCCCTACTGCTTCCGGTTTCTCCCCTTATAACCCTGAACCCTGTCCCCCACGTGACGTAACTCCTCCCCCCTTGACGTCACTTCCGGAAGGTCGTTTACGCCCGCATTACACACGGACGACACACTCTTCTGTGCTCATCTGTCCACGGATTGGGTGCTCTCTTCTTCACGCTCTCTTAAAGTGTTGTTTTAATGTATTCATTATCCGATTCATGTTTTCATGGTTATATCCAGGTTGACCGTGAGAAGGCTTTAAAAAAGGCAAAAGAATCTGAGGTAACACCCACACTTCACGACCCAGTCATCAACATGTATTTTATTGATGCGTGTTAATCTGATAACTGTGAAGTAATTATTAACAATAGTGCATAGATATTTGCATGCCAACATATGCATTTATTTGAAGATATATGTAGATTGCAGGAATGTGCATTCATTGCTGCAAATTGTGCTCTACTAAAGTCCTAAACCTACGACCACCTGATCTGCTCTCTGGCTTGCAACTGCTTTATGTTGTTTGTAGATTTGAAAGTGCACGTAAATGTCCCATTACATTACTCAGTTGCTTACTTACTTGCCATTCTTCAGTTGTTTGGTCTCACGCTGCATGTTCAAGTCCCTACTCATTCCTTCGGACATACTCTGGAAGAAATGTGCTCCAATGGCTTTCCAGTCAGCGACCTTTCTATTATCGATGCAGCCCTTCTTATCACTGTGCAGTAATCTTCACGATGCCCTTATCTTTGCTCATTTTCTCACCATCAATGCTAGATGTCTTTCCATACACTAAACTCCATTACTTATTTATCAGTTACTGAAAACTTTGCCTTTTCTTGCCACTTTAAGAAGACTACTTTATCATAAAATGACACTCTTTTACACATTTAAATCACGTACCTCCTCTCAAGATCTAACCGATTTTTACGAACAAGCCCTCCCCATGTCAAATTAATGGTTCGTAAGTCTGAGCAGGTCTAGAGAAAGTCAGGTTTCATAATTTAGAGACATCTCTTTAAGACATCACTCCCCAACAACAAGGATGTCATCTCTCAAGCGACATCTGTCCATTTTGCCTGCCTAATTGCCACCATAAAGTTTATTCCTAAAATTATATTTGCCAGTTTTAATCACCTTCTGAATCCAGGCCAGTAGCTTTATTTCTAATTCCTACGACCATTGCAATTCATTACAACACTTTTTTTCTCATAAAATAATATTCATTCGCTCTTGATGATTGTCAATACAAATGGTTCCGAATCCTCAAGATTTCCACCCACCTCATTGAAAGGGCACCAATTTTATTTCCAATTTTAAATATCCCATTTTTTTCAAAATGCTTGAGGGCACAGTGGCCACGTTGTTTTATCAACGTTTTTCTTTAAAGAACTTCCTTGATCCATTTCAGTCAGGTTTTAGACCAGGGTTCGGCACTGAGACAGCTCTGGTGAGGGACGTCAATGATTTGCTGTCAGCAAACAAAGGTTTTCTAAGCATTCTCCTCCTTAATCTTAGTTCAGCTTTAAGTAAAACTGACGATAGAATTTTCCTCAATCAGTTGTAATTCACGAAAGTGGTTTCGGACAATGTCTTGTAATGGTTCCACTCCTTTTTTGCAAACCGTGTCACTATGGGCAGTTTTAAGATCTGTGCTGAGCCCCACTTTGTTCAGTGTGTACGTGGCCCCAATTTTAGCTTCGCTCCAACACAAAAGGCCATGTTAAAATTGGTACACGGACGACACACTCTTCTGTGCTCATCTGTCCACGGATTGGGTGCTCTCTTCTTCACGCTCTCTTAAAGTGTTGTTTTAATGTATTCATTATCCGATTCATGTTTTCATGGTTATATCCAGGTTGACCGTGAGAAGGCTTTAAAAAAGGCAAAAGAATCTGAGGTAACACCCACACTTCACGACCCAGTCATCAACATGTATTTTATTGATGCAGGTTAATCTGATAACTGTGAAGTAATTATTAACAATAGTGCATAGATATTTGCATGCCAACATATGCATTTATTTGAAGATATATGTAGATTGCAGGAATGTGCATTCATTGCGGCAAATTGTGCTCTACTAAAGTCCTAAACCTACGACCACCTGATCTGCTCTCTGGCTTGCAACTGCTTTATGTTGTTTGTAGATTTGAAAGTGCACGTAAATGTCCCATTACATTACTCAGTTGCTTACTTACTTGCCATTCTTCAGTTGTTTGGTCTCACGCTGCATGTTCAAGTCCCTACTCATTCCTTCGGACATACTCTGGAAGAAATGTGCTCCAATGGCTTTCCAGTCAGCGACCTTTCTATTATCGATGCAGCCCTTTTTATCACTGTGCAGTAATCTTCACGATGCCCTTATCTTTGCTCATTTTCTCCCCATCAATGCTAGATGTCTTTCCATACACTAAACTCCATTACTTATTTATCAATTACTGAAAACTTTGCCTTTTCTTGCCACTTTAAGAAGACTACTTTATCATAAAATGACACTCTTTTACACATTTAAATCACGTACCTCCTCTCAAGATGTAACCGATTTTTACGAACAAGCCCTCCCCATGTCAAATTAATGGTTCGTAAGTCTGAGCAGGTCTAGAGAAAGTCAGGTTTCATAATTTATAGACATCTCTTTAAGACATCACTCCCCAACAACAAGGATGTCATCTCTCAAGCGACATCTGTCCATTTTGCCCGCCTAATTGCCACCATAAAGTTTATTCCTAAAATTATATTTGCCAGTTTTAATCACCTTCTGAATCCAGGCCAGTAGCTTTATTTCTAATTCCTACGACCATTGCAATTCATTACAACACTTTTTTTCTCATAAAATAATATTCATTCGCTCTTGATGATTGTCAATACAAATGGTTCCGAATCGTCCAGATTTCCACCCACCTCATTGAAAGGGCACCAATTTTTTTCCATTTTTAAAAATCCCATTTTTTTCAAAATGCTTGAGGGCACAGTGACCACGTTGTTTTATCAACGTTTTTCTTTAAAGAACTTCCTTGATCCATTTCAGTCAGGTTTTAGACCAGGGTTCGGCACTGAGACAGCTCTGGTGAGGGACGTCAATGATTTGCTGTCAGCAAACAAAGGTTTTCTAAGCATTCTCCTCCTTAATCTTAGTTCAGCTTTTAGTAAAACTGACGATAGAATTTTCCTCAATCAGTTGTAACTCACGAAAGTGGTTTCGGACAATGCCTTGTAATGGTTCCACTCCTTTTTTGCAAACCGTGTCACTATGGGCAGTTTTAAGATCTGTGCTGAGCCCCACTTTGTTCAGTGTGTACATGGCCCCAATTTTAGCTTCGCTCCAACACAAAAGGCCATGTTAAAATTGGTACACGGACGACACACTCTTCTGTGCTCATCTGTCGCCGGATTGGGGAGATTTTCAAGTTGATGTCATGTCTATGTGTAACAAGCTGAGGCGCTGGTCCCTGCACTGTGAGAGGCAAGCTTGTCATCGCAAGAGAACCACCACAGCAGTGGCCGTGCCAGTGAGACACAAAGCCCATAAAACAGTAAGAACCATCGATACATCGAGGCGAAGTGAGCCGAGGTGGCCATGTTAGTGAGACCCCAGCTCGTTAATACAAAGGCATCCAACAGGGCAATGCAACTCAGAGAGTTGGAGATAACAGCCTAAAAGCAGGAAGGATGAAAACATCACATCGAGCTATGACTTTACATGGTTAATAACGTACTTCCAATGATTGCTGAGCTTATACCCATCTTCTCGGTTGAAATTGTTTCTGGTAATATATATCTGGTTGGCTTCATGGACAAATGTTTGATGGTAGCCCGAAGGTTTGCAGAGTACCTTGGTCTCAGAAAAAAACAATATCGTGCGAGCCCACCGCGTTATAACAGTGATCAGCCACTGAAATGTATTGGTTCTGTCGTGTTTCAAATCTGCCTTGTGTTCGCGAACACGGTCCGAGACATATCGTTTCGTTTCTCCAATGTAACTGCTGCCACAGACACAACTTAGTTTGAAGACATCAGGGTATTGCATGTCAGGAATGACATCCTTCACAAACGGGATCAAATCACGGATTTTGTGTAATTTTCGGAATCGTACCTGGATCTTGTGTTTGTTTAAGATTTAGGAAATATTTTTAGTAAGACCTGCTATGTATGACAAGGTGATGGTTTTGATTGGGTCCTCAGATGGTTGTGTCCCCATGGTTGGGGATACAACTTTGCGGATTATGTGGTCTGAGTATACATTCATCTTGAGGGCTTGGTGTACGTGCTCCTGTTCACTGGCTAGGTGGTGATGGTCGGACATGCAATGGACCCTATGGTGTAGTGTTTTGATGAGATAATTATTCTGGGCCGGATGGTGGTGAGAATCAGGCTTTAGATAGGAATCTGTGTGGGTGGCTTTCCTGTGGACAGAAAGTCCCAACGAGCCATCAGGCCTCTTCTCGATCAGAACATCCAGGAAAAGTAGCTTGCCATCATTTTTCACTTCCATGGTTAATTTGATGGATGGGTATATGGAATTGATGTGGTTGAAAAATGGGTTCCGTGCTGGCTAGCCATGTGGCCAGATGACGAAAGTGTCATCTATGTATCTCTTCCACAGGGAAGGACATAGGGTGGTTGTCGGGATGGCATCTGTTTAAAATTTCTCCATGAAAACATTCGCTACCACTGGTGATAAGGGAGAACCTCTAGGGGCACCTTCATTTTGTTTGTAGAATGTACAATTCCAGATGAAGTAAGTGTTGGTAAGGCAGTGCCTCACCAAAGTTGGTACATCAGGATTCAGTCCATGTTGGACCAAGTCGTCAATGATTGCTATGGTGTCAGGTACAGGTACTTTGGAGAACAGAGAGACTACATCAAAACTGACAAGCAAACCATCTGGGGACAGTGAAATGTCCTTGATTAGAGAAACCAAGTGAGCTGAGTTAAGTACTGCTGAGGTGGTCTTGTCCGTGAATGGAAGCAGGGTCTCAGACAGAAATCGGGCCAGTTTATAGGTAGGTGAGTTGATGGTGGATACGACAAGACGGAGTGGAGTCCCTTCTTTATGGATTTTTGGAAGGCATAAAATCAGGTTGGTCTAGCAGCTGAAGGTATTATGGAGAGTTTCTTGGTTTATTTGATTAGAGAAGTCGAATTAGTGATGCTATTGTTGTTTTTTGTGGCCAGGCGGTTGGTAGGATTTTTGTTGATTTTGGTATAACTGCCATCATTAAGATGGTCCTGGATTTTGTTGTTGCCCTTGTCGGCTGAGAGGATGACAATGTCATCTCACTTTTTCAATTGAGCGAGTTCAGAGCGCTCGTCCCTGCTGATGTTACTAATGGGTTTCTTAGCGTTTTTGAGGATGGCGGCAATTTCAGATCTAGCCACGTCTGCTGGGATGTGTCCCAAACCTTTGAGGGCTACGTCAACCTGGGCAATGATCTAATCCACTGGGATGTGGTTGGGGGTGACTGCAAAATTCAGCCCTCTAGCTAGTACCGATTTTAGGCTATCGGAAATTGGGCTTAAACTCTGATTGATAACAATCTTGTTAATATCCAAATTTTCTAAGTGTGGATCAGGCTTCTTTTTTGCTAGGATGTTGAATTTTGCAATCAAGTTAACTTTACATTTGGTTGACATTGTCGAGGCAGAAGACACAGTCATGTTATCTACAAGGTCCCAATCAGAATTGGACATTTTATCTGTTAATGCTAAGTGTGATTGTAAGAGACATTTGTCTAATTGATCAAGTTCAAAATGGAGCAGTCTTATCCTCTCTGAGATTAGCGATAGGCTAACTCTGAACAATATCTGTTTAGTGTTAGGAGAAGTGTAAATGTGATCGGTATTACCTTGTTGTCGCGGCATCTCTTCAGAAAGGTGAGCGACTCGATCAGGTGAGCCTTCTTGTGTCGCAGTATGTTGAAGGATCTAACAGATGTGTGGAAACCCTCCCCATAGTGGCAGTTCATTCTTGATTTTGAAGCTTTCGTGACTGCAAGAATCCATACTCTTTGGTTATTTTGGTAAAGTCACGTAGGTAGAAAAACAAAATGAAAATAATATATATATCACGACGTTTCGATCACAACACAAGCGGTCGTCCTCAGGCGAAACAAAATCCAGCAGTAGAACTGCTGAACCAGGAAGAACACAGCGATAGAGGTGCTACAACAAGGGGTTATCTATGTTTGAGGGGGGTGTAGCCCAAGGGCGAGCAAGCAGGGTCCGAACTGGAACAAAGTCCCATCCCCGCACGCAAGAACATCAGTTGTGTTAATAGGGGAAATTAGGGAGAGAGATTAACATGTCAAAGTAAATGAGCTGCCATCGCCGCATAAGAGCACCATCGCCGCACATGTGCACAGCAGTAGTGTTAATGGGAGATTAGCACTATGTTAATGGGAGAGATTAGGGAGAGAGATTGGGGAGATTGTTGATGTAATGTCTATGTGTAACAAGCTGCGGCGCTGGCCACTGCGCTGTGAGAGGCAAGCATGTCATTGCAAGAGAACCACCGCAATAGTGGCCGTGCCAGTGAGACACACAGCCCATAAAACAGTAAGAACCATCAATACATCAAAGCTAAGAGAGCAGAGGTGGCCATGTTAGTTAGACCCCGGCCCATTAATGCAAGGCATCCAACAGGGAAATGCAACTCAGAGTTGGAGATAACGGCCAAACATAACGTCATTTAGCAACACCTCCTTAAGGCATCACTCCCCAACTACAACGATGTCATGTCTCAAACGACATCTGTCCATTTTGCACGCCTAATTACCACCAGAAAGTTCAATCCTGAAATTATATTGGACGCTTTTTATCACATCTCTTTGGTTCTTTCGGTAAAGTCACGTAGGTAGACAAAATAATAGATCAAGACGTTTCAATCGCAACACAAGCATT